GAAAGTGGAGGGTCAGCAAAAAAGGGGAAGGCCCTCAATGAGACAAATTGACACAATGGCTGCGATGATGCACTCAGCTATAGCAAGGATTATGAGGCTGGCACAGGACCAGGCAGTGTTGTGCTGTTGTACATAGGGTCGCTATGAGTCAGGTCCAACTCAACAGCACATAACAACAACCACCACCACCATATATGGAGCCCCTGCTATATATTAGGCATCATACTAGGTCCTTTACATTCTTGACACCATTTCATTCTTCATATACTAATCCTGTTTGAGTAGATGGTATTATGTCCATTTTTACAGGTGAGAAAACTTAGCCCTTAGGAAGTTTAGCAGCTTGTCTCAAAGCATACAAAACTATAGTAAAACCCACACGTGGACTTAAAAAGTCGGGATTTCTACTGAGAACTAGACGGTAAAACCAGGGCTCCCTGGTGTTTGCATCTGCTTCTGATGCTGATAATTCTGAATTTAGAGTATTTTCTTATAGAGAGGTGAAGTGATGACTTCACCTCTCAAAGCAACTCATGCAGTTTCTTAAGCATGTAGAAGAATGACTCAGATTACATCATCTCTCATCTGGAATGCTCAAGAACTGATTTTAATTGACCTAAGATTCAGGTTACTCTTAAATGCAGCTGATGGGTGCCTGTTATCATTTATAAGAGGGTTTCCGTGTACCAGTATTTTTGGGCAAAAAACAATATGCAGTTTAAAAAAAAAAAATTAGTATGTGTTTACAGATTTACCACCCAGGGGGAGGGAGCAATTGAGAAACAAATGAAGATGGTACTGTGTTATTTGCATAGAAATAAAATAGTGTTGCATTATGCAATAATTTAAGCTTTGGTAAATTAGTATTCTTGGTAAAAAGCAAGTGGAATTAGGTTTGTGTTTTTCTTGATATTTAAACATCTTTTTAAAACAAAATTCATGCTCTTTGCATGAATCTAACATTTACTGAGCTATTCCTCTATTGTAAGTATTGTGTTGAGTGCTCATTTAATATAGCAGCATCTGAGGGAGGAAGATTCTATTACTGAGTCTATTTTACAGATGTAGAAATAGGTTTAGATTATGTAATTTGCTGAGGTAAAGTGGTAGAAATAATACTGAACCCAGGTATAACTCCAGAGCCCCTGCATTTAATCACTTCTTCTACCTTTGTCTCCAGCCTCCAGATTGTATTCTCTTAGTTAAAACTTGTCAAAGCCTGATTTTCATGTGATTTTATATTTAAACTTCTGTTTTGCCACATCTTTGTCATGAAAGAGTCCATTGAAGGTCTCAAATGTCTGTGATGTCCTTTTTCAGGTTCCATGCCTCTGCAGTGGTGCATCCTGTTTGCTATGTAGCTGCTGCCCCAACAGTAAGAATTCTACTTTGACCCGCCTTATCTATGCATTTATTCTCTTCCTGGGCACTGTTGTATCCTGTATCATGCTGACAGAAGACATGGGAACTCAGCTGAAGAAAGTGAGTAGATGTAATAGTACCCTTAATTGAAGTGATCAAGTGTGCAAATTCAGGTTTTCCTGTAGTGAAATAGAATCTGTGTTTAAATGTGAACCATCCCTTAGCATTAAAATTGCTTTTTTCAGATTCCTGGATTCTGTGACGGAGGGTTTAAAATCAACATGGCTGATATCAAGGAGAATAAAGATTGCAATGTGCTGGTTGGTTATAAAGCTGTGTATCGGATCAGCTTTGCCTTGGCCATCTTTTTCTTTGTCTTCTTTCTGCTCATGTTAAAAGTAAAAACGAGTAAGGATCCCAGAGCAGCAGTACACAATGGGTATGTAAGATTTCTTACTAACTTGTTTTGTTACGTGTAGTTTCTCTTTAGCAGTTAATGTTGCCGTTATGCTGAAGGCAATAGAATAGGTAAATCAGTGGTCCATATTTGTTTCTGATGTGTGAAAATATGTGTGAAATTGTTTAAATGCCCTTCAGTTAGAATTTTGTAACACTGGGCAGCAGAGACATGGGGGAACTTCTTGTCATTTTTCTGAATGCCATTGCTTTTCATGTTCCTAAATTTTATTGAACACCTTTCACACAGTTCAGGCACTGTGTTAGTACTTTCTATGCATGTATGTGTAGATATGTGTGTGTGTGTCTGTGTGTTTTATACATTCTTTCTGTTGTTTTGAGATAAACATGTGCCTGATAGATTTAAGCAATATACAGAAAGTTACACAGTGAATATATTGCAGCCACTGATTTACATATTCCATTGTGTTCCACTCCTGAGCCCCAGTTTCCCTTTTACATGTATTTCTAATTCTCATTAGGAGACTCAAGGGAGTTTTGTAAACTTTATGTGTATTACAGTCCCCTTTTTACAAATTCAGTAACTGAATTTCAAGGAGGTGAAATAAACTACTTTGATCTCTCAGCTAATTGTGGCTGGAGCTAGAATCGAAACACAGATCTGTCCAAAGTCTGCTTCTTTCCACTGTGGCATAAAAGGCAGTCATTAAAGATGATGGACTGAAAGTCAGGTTTAGTTCTGGCTTTGCCACGGATAAAGTTCATATTGTGGGGCAAGGCATTTTATCTCTGGTCCCTCTTGTCCTACTTTGTAAAAGGATTACATGGTAATTTTTCTCCCCAAATCAAATAGTTAATGGCTTAATATTTAGCTATCTTTGTTAGTTTAGAATTCCCCAGATTTCTAGAAAAAAATCTTATCTTTAAGCTCTAACAGGAAGATGTCAAAAAGTTACATGTTTCTCACTTAGTATGAAAGTAAACGTGTAGATTCTCTGTGCTAATGTTCATCCTTAAATTGTGTGAAATACTGACTGACATAGCCTCATGTCCAATGAAGAATAAACCTAGTCATGTTGGTAATGCTACTAAGACTTTTATTTTGAGTTTCAGAAATTAATTTTTTCTCAGTCTAAGGGCAAAAAGTAGCATTTCAGAAATGCATATTTATGTTTTAATAGGTTTTGGTTCTTCAAAATTGCTGCCATTGTTGGTATCATGGTTGGATCTTTCTACATTCCTGGGGGTCATTTCACTACAGGTATGGCTTACTGTCCTACTGAGGGAATTAATTAAGATATACACATTCTACAAATGATTGAATTGAAACTGCACTTTCATTACTGATATTGTAGAACTGGATGTTAAATGAGATGCTTTCTAGTTCTGTGACTTGGATCTAATATTAAGGGATGGAGCAAAGCCAAGAGGCCTACATCCCACCTCCTGCTCACCTTTTGTGGAACCATATGTTCATCTTTTGCCAGTATTTTAAAGGTTTGTCTTCTCATTTGCAATACTAGGTTAAGTGGAAAGCTTGGCAACATAAGGATTTGTAGCTCTTATGTTCGACTATTCTTGTCTTGACCTGTTTTCTTTAACATGGCATCAAGTGACATCTGTGGATTACCACTCTGATTTTCATCTTTTACAATAAAGGAAAAGGCTTACAATATCCTTTAGAATGCCAAATTCTAGGCTCCCCTTGGCACAAGCTATAATAAGTTTTGAAAGGTCTGAAATTCATCAGGGTACTTCTCAGAGAATGCCATTGAGTTTGGAGTTGGAAAAACCTTGCGTTACTGCTGGAGACAGAATAAGGCTTTATCACTTCTCATTTGAGTTGAAATCCATTCAGAATATTGGACAGGAACATTCTAAAATGTTACTCCTCTGGTAAAGAATACCTTTTCTTGTTCTTTGGTTTGTAGCATGGTTTATTATTGGCATGGGAGGTGCTTTCTTCTTCATCCTCATCCAACTGGTGCTTTTGGTCGATTTCGCTCACTCTTTGAATGAGTCATGGGTAAATCGAATGGAAGAAGGAAACCCAAGGATCTGGTATGCTGGTAGGTATTTAAACTTAGCTGAGAACCATACTGCATTGTGCTACATTAAACAGTATACACTGAAACATCTATTGACTTAATATATAAGCTCCCATTGTAGAGCTGTCTTTAAAAAAAAAAAACAAACTGATTTAATTCTGAATTGTATGAATTACTAAAAGGGAGTAGCATAGATAAAATAAATCACTGGATTCTCCCAATTCACTTATTTTAGAATTTGTAATGTAATTAGATGTATTTAGATAAAGAAAATGAAATGCTTTTTATTCACTGACATAGTCCTGGTTTTGAATACTGTATCCATAGATAGGGGATCCACATAGGTTCTGCATATAGTATATCTGCACATGTACCTCAGGCAGAGAGGGCTGAGCAGTCCTTACTACTTTTTTATGAGAGTGTAACCACCCCTCTCCTCACCCCAACCTCATAAAAGCTTTCTGGTAGATTAAGGGCATTTAAGAATTTTAGATTGGAACCCAGATATAGATCCATCGACCTACAGCCAGCTGATCTTTGACAAAGGCCCAAAATCCATTAAATGGGGAAGAGAATGT